ACAGTTCTAGGTCTCACCTAAGATCTCATTAGTCTGCAAATACCTTTAGATCCTTTAGTTTGGGTCCTGACAGGGCCGGATATACTCTCCCTGCTGCCCCAAGGCCAGGTTCTGCAAGGCGCAAAACCCCCCCATCAACAGAGAATGGCAGGGACGGCAGGGTTACTTTTATTTTTTTCATTGTTTCTTTTTTAACTTTTTTATCACTTTTTTATATTTTTAGCTTATAAAGCCCCTGTGTGATAGCCTTTGGAGGTGACAGGTTCTCTTTATTGAACCTGTCACCTCCAATACAAGAGTTCTACCACAGTACTGTGCTAGAACTCTTGTGACAGCTGAGAGAGGAAGAGAACAGCTCTCCCCTCTCACTGTATACACGGAGCAGCAGTGTTAGTTTAACCCTCCCGCTCTGCTCCCCACATCGGCAGCCAGTGAGGAGAGACTCAGCGGCCGGGGGGAGGACGGAACCAGAGGGGAGGACGGACAGGCTGCACACATTTTACACGTGATAGCGGCGACATTGCCGTGATCACTTGTAAAGGAACAAGCGGCTTTCCCACACTACATTTAGTCCTGCCTTCCCAAAGCAGGACTAAATGTAGAAGGCAACTGACCGCCCGGCGCCCGGAGCTTTATGTACCGGGCATCGGGGGATTCCACATCACTGCCACCCCTCTGCGCCCTGCCGCCCCGAGGCCTGGCCTCTGTGGCCTTGTGGGGAATCCGGCCTGGGTCCTGGCCAAACCTTTTTAAAGCATACACTCACCAACACAGTGCTTGTTAAATCTTATTCTTATCGAAGCTAGATTTGAAATAGTTTGTCATTGGAATCAAATGCAACTACCTGACAGACAAGTTGTTCTTAACAGGCTCAAATTTCCTGTATAAAATGGATAGTCTAACCACACAAATGAGACACTATCCAGACTTGCAATAGGGTTTGGGCCCCCTGCCTACATCTTTTGTAGCCAGCCTCTTCCAAATTCTCCACCACTGTGGACTCCATGCTCACTTTACTGTAGCTCATTTCTCCCAGCGGCAGGCATCAACCACGCAAGTCTAGATTTCCTAGATCTGTTTTCATCTAGAGACATTTGACTTCAGCTAGAGGCCAGACCCATCAATGTTTTCATGTCTGCAGCAGTGTTCACACTCTTCTGTCTTACTACGGAGGAGCCTGATGTAATAAGCAGACCTTGTATTTTAGTGTAAGGTCTTTTTTAAGGCAGGGAGAGGTGGAATAACAACTTTGCAAAATTAGGATGGGTAAAGGCATCTGGATCAGATCGCACCCATTCCCATATGCTAAAGGGATTCATGTGTTAGTGCTTCTTGTAAATATAGCGCTACTGGTAACCAGGTTAGTATGATTCAGCTTCTCAGCAACTACTTTGTAAATGTCCCAGGCCCACATACTTGCCAAAAAATATCCTAGGCACATTCTTCTCAGGAAGTAGTTTCTCTGGATGTTTGGAATGATGAGCACCAGCCACTTAATTTAGGATGTTTATAGATGTTATCACACATGTACATGGAGATTCTATTCAAAACTCAGCCCATGGTCTTTTGCATGTCTTTCTTACCTTCTGGGTTCCTATCCCATAGGGCTATACTGGCTTGACACTTAAGCTTCAAACGTGGCACCTTTACAACTGAGATTCTAGTGGTATCTTGGCCTTAGACTTTAAGGCATAACAGTGTGAAAAGGTTTCTGTGTTGCCTTCCTACTCAGTCAGTCACTCACCACTTCCATTGAGGAAGACAGCTGCAGTCAGCTTCCCCTAGGCCCAAGTAGAACGCCATGGCAGTCAGTATCTGTAGAGTATAACTTTTTTTAGACTGAAAACACAAAACGCACAGCTCACCTCTATCATGCGTCCCCGCAATCCACATTCGGTGCACGGATGACTCTCTTCCAGGGTAATAGGCTCAAAAACTGTAGATCATTCAACTTTAATGGAAATAATTTGTGTGGTGTTTTGCAGGATATAAGAATGATCTTCGAAGAGTTGTGCTGAGTAAAAGGGACCCAAGCAATGTACAGGCCAAGTTCATGTTATACAGTGAAGAAACAGACAAAGCAAATATGTGTCAGATTGTGACACTTCAGCCAGACACTCTGGAGAAATGTGCTTTCAATGCTACTCTTCCTATGGTGATAATAGTTCATGGATGGTCGGTATGTATATCAGGCTATAACTACTATTGTTTAAACCTGGCTTGGGCCACAAAAACTTTTATCCAAATAATATTCCTCAATAACTACAAAGGCTGTAAATCCACTTTGTGCACCCTAAGTAACACCCAGATATCACTTTGTAAAAGTAGTGGTGACATCATCACTAAGTTGCACGAAGCTGTGGGTGGGACCCAGGAGGACACCCCACAGCTAGACCAAAAGTCCAAGTATCCCATCGCACTCCTGACCGGAAAATGACCATGCAGCAGGGCGGGTGCAGCAGTAACAACAGATGCCTCCGTCAAAAACGTACAAAATAATAAAGTCATCGGCACTCCAAGTATTCAAGTCAATAAGTTTATTGACCCAAGTGAAAACACCTCTATCAATTTTTTCGGGACCAAGCGGCCCCTTCCTTAGGCAATCAGAAAGTCCAAACACAGCTAGACCAGTCAACTTGAGAGAGAGAGCAGCAGTGACTGTTTTTATTATAGAATACTCCTGCACTGAGGCATCCTGGATTACTACACATATTTGAAAAAAATACACAAAGGGCACCAAGATTCAATTAAAATTAAAAAAACAAAACAACTGTCTCTTGTATTTAGCCAATCCTCCTTGACAGGAAGAGAGAGTGGGGGGGGGGGGGGGGGGGGGGGGCTGGGGGTGACCTAATCAGTTTGCTGCTTCTCCTCTGTTTTCCAATCACCAAACAGGGAGTGTAAAGCAATCCTGCTTTATTGCTATAGCTGTGGCAGAGGTCCCAGGCCTAGCTATGCTGTCTGAAAAGTGGTTAAAACACAAAACAGGTTATTTTCACATAATGGTGAACCTGAAGAAGTGAAAGTTGTGAGAGAAATATGTGAAATGTCACTGCTGACCACGTTCTAGACCACTAGTTGCATGCCTGTGTCTAAATTCTGCTGCAGTGCACATATGTTAGCAGTGAACATGTTAACAGGAGGAGGGGACATCTACAAAAGCCAAAATAAAAATTTAGATGTACTCTCCTACTCTTTAAACCGTTGCCAAGAACAGTTGTATATGATTTATGTTATCAGACTAACCACCCTTTTAAAAGTACTGCAGAAACACATGTTCGCCATTTTCTGGGAGCACACAGAATTAGGCTTACAGGCTAGAAGGCCCACATTTTAAATACAATCTTTTTTTTTTTTTACTGCTGTTGTCCACTACCATGCTTGGTGGCCTCCCTTGCAATATACCCTCTCAATGTTGAAATGCATGTGGCCTGGTATGGTTCAGGAAGGGGAGGCACACAGTCACTTACCTAACTTTAGGCCACTCACGCTGCATGCCTGGATAAGGACCTGGCATCAATTATAAGGGGAACCCCACACCATTTTTTCCCTTTATTTAAAATGAGTATTGCCCCTTTAAAAAAAAACATGTCAGGCTGTTATCCAGGCATACAGCAAGCACGCACCTTATACCAGGCCCTTATCTAGTCATACAGCAAGCACGCACCTTATACCAGGCCCTTATCCAGGAATATAACAAGCATGCACCTTTTACCAAGACCTTATCTAGTCATACAGCAAGCATGCACCTTATACCAGGCCCTTATCTAGTCATACAGCAAGCATGCACCTTATACCAGGCCCTTATCTAGTCATACAGCAAGCATGCACCTTATACCAGGCCCTTATCTAGTCATACAGCAAGCATGCACCTTATACCAGGCCCTTATCTAGTCATACAGCAAGCATGCACCTTATACCAGGCCCTTATCTAGTCATACAGCAAGCATGCACCTTATACCAGGCCCTTATCTAGTCATACAGCAAGCATGTACCTTATAGCAGGCCCTCATCTAGTCATACAGGAAGCATGCACCTTATACCAGGCCCTTATACAGTCAAACAGCAAGCATGCAACTTATACCAGGCCCTTATCTAGTCATACAGCAAGCATGCACCTTATACCAGGCCCTTATCCAGGGATATAGTAAGCATGGACCTTATACCAGGCCATTATCTGGTCATACAGCAAGCATGCACCTTACACCAGGCCCTTATCTAAACATACAGCAAGCATGCACCTTATACCAGGCTCTTATCTAGTCATACAGCAAGCATGCACCTTTTACCAGGCCGTTATCTAGTCATACAGCAAGCATGCACCATATACCAGGCCCTTATCTAGTCATACAGCAACCATGCACCTTATACCAGGCCCAAATATAGCAAGCATGCACCTTTTACCAAGACCTTATTTAGTCATACAGCAAGCATGCACCTTATCCCAGGCCCTTATCCAGGAATATAGCAAGCATGCACCTTTTACCAAGACCTTATTTAGTCATACAGCAAGCATGCACCTTATCCCAGGCCCTTATCCAGGAATATAGCAAGCATGCACCTTTTACCAAGACCTTATTTAGTCATACAGCAAGCATGCACCTTATCCCAGGCCCTTATCCAGGAATATAGCAAGCATGCACCTTTTACCAAGACCTTATTTAGTCATACAGCAAGCATGCACCTTATCCCAGGCCCTTATCCAGGAATATAGCAAGCATGCACCTTTTACCAAGACCTTATTTAGTCATACAGCAAGCATGCACCTTATCCCAGGCCCTTATCCAGGAATATAGCAAGCATGCACCTTTTACCAAGACCTTATTTAGTCATACAGCAAGCATGCACCTTATCCCAGGCCCTTATCCAGGAATATAGCAAGCATGCACCTTTTACCAAGACCTTATTTAGTCATACAGCAAGCATGCACCTTATCCCAGGCCCTTATCCAGGAATATAGCAAGCATGCACCTTTTACCAAGACCTTATTTAGTCATACAGCAAGCATGCACCTTATCCCAGGCCCTTATCCAGGAATATAGCAAGCATGCACCTTTTACCAAGACCTTATTTAGTCATACAGCAAGCATGCACCTTATCCCAGGCCCTTATCCAGGAATATAGCAAGCATGCACCTTTTACCAAGACCTTATTTAGTCATACAGCAAGCATGCACCTTATACCAGGCCCTTATCTAGTCATACATCAAGCATGCACCTTATACCAGGCCCTTATCTAGTCACACATCAAGCCCTTATCTAGTCATACAGCAAGCACCTTATACCAGGCCATTATCTGGTCATACAGCAAGCATGCACCTTATACCAGGCTCCTATCTAGTCATACAGCAAGCATGCACCTTATACCAGGCTCTTATCTAGTCATACAGCAAGCATGCACCTTATACCAGGCCCTTATCCAATCATACAGCAAGCATGCATCCCCCCTTTCCTATACCATACCATCCTGTACCATACCAGGACACATACCTTTCAACACACACAACACTACTGCTGCAAAATGACAGATCCCTGGCTGACTCCTGTTTGTAAACAAACTGACCTGGGATCCTGGGTGACACTATTAACCAAATATGCTACAAAATAATAGATCCCGGCCAGCTGGCGAATTATGACCGTACTTGGTCAATGATACCACCTAGGATCCCTAGCTGGTTTGTTAACTACTGCGGCAGTGTGGTAGGGCAAGATGATAGGTCAGCGGGTCGTCATGTCAGTGGGCCAATATTGTCAGATGGTGGGTCATTGTTTCAGAGGGTCATCATGATTGATCTGGATCTACATCACAGGGCGATGTGATTGACAATGGATTTACATGGTGGGACATTGCTTACTTTTAACTGAATTTTTATTAAAGGACTTGCGTGTTAGTTTATTTACATCTCTATTATTTTGGGAAATAATCAAAAGGGGAACTAATGCACCCTGTACTCATTCTCCTAGGGAAAGAATACATTTCTGGGGGTCCCTCATTACAAAGGGGGTTTCCAGTTTCCACCGCCACAAACTTACACATACTTTTTGTGGTGAGAGGATGTGGGGATGATACTATTGAACCCCTCAACATGAGCACATTCTGACTGACATCTATTAATAAATTGATTTGCACTGACATATGAGCTTCTGTCATGCTGGTGTGCTGGTGACATCTACATTTTAATACAAAGTAAGGACATTTATTTCACATAAATTAGACTTTAGTGACTAAAAAAATGATTGCAGTCTCTGAGACAACCAGCCAATAGATGTGAATCCATGCCATTTGTTTCAATATGAACTGCAAGCAAAATTCATGGTATTTTAAAATTCCATTTATGTTAGCATGAAGAATTGTAGAATGTGTATATGTAAAGTGCAAAATCATTGAGGTATCCAGAAGTAATTCATACAATTTTGGTTATTTATACATATAATATAAAACTAATTATGTCAGATAATAGAATACATCTAGACAGAATAACAGCAAAACATACTGTATGTCCTTATATTATGTATGGTGCAAAAAAAAGATGTATTGATTCTTCTCTAATATTTTCTAGGTTGATGGTTACCTGGAAGCTTGGGTCCCAAAGATGGCTTCTGCATTTAAGTCAAGTAAAAAGCAAATTAATGTCATCATTGCTGATTGGCTGACCTCTGCCCATGTACATTATGCAGTTGCTGTGCAAAATACTCGATTTATTGGACTAGAAATAGCCGAATTCCTAGAATGGCTTGAGGTAAGATTTTTTTAAGCGTCAGTTAACAAGTATTTAAATCCGTGATTTTGGGTGGATTGTTGTGAGCATAATTGTAAAAGACAGTATCTTTATTTTGTATAGCCTGACCTCATAATATACTGTATGAGGGAACGCATTTAGTTTTATACCTTTAGGAATAGTTTATGTACAATTTTAGGACTGTGTGACTTCTTATTGAGTTCTCCTCAATAAATGTCCCATCTTTCAAAGTTTTGAAATCATTGGAGGAGATAAACTATATTGCATTAGAGACAACAACTATATTTGGGGAAGATACTGGCTTCCTTTACACAAGTCCAGGATGACCACAAGATATGCACTTATATTCACACCAGTTGCAGTGCTTTCCGGCCCGATTCTGGCCGGAGCGCACTGCCTCGCATTGCGGCCGGCTCACTTTTTAGTGAGCATGAGGGGGCGTGGTGGGCCATTGAAGTGAATGCCACCGTAACCACACCCTCTGGCCGCAATGCAATTGCCCGCATGGGATCGCAAAACACATTGTGCCTGCGGTCCGGTGCGATCAAAATAGTGCTTGCAGCATTTTGACCGCACCGGACCACAGGCACAATGTGCCATGCAATCCTGTGCGGGGGCGATCGCATTGCGGCCGGAGGGCGTGGCTACGATGCCATTCACTTCAATGGCCCGTCACGCCTCCTCCTGCCCCACTAAAAAGTGAGCAAGCCACAATGCGAGGCAGTGCGTTCCGGCCAGAATCGGGCCGGAACGCACTGCAAATGGTGTGAACAAGCCCTTAAAGCGGACCTTTACCCACTTTCAGCAAAACTCACATCAGCATGCAGCTCTGCATGCTGACATGAAATCATCTTACATTCATTAGTTAAACAAACATGCTTTTCATTTACTTAAAATAAAGTGTATCTACTTCCTGGTCCACTTCTGGCACAAATTTGCAATGTGCCAAAGCATTGCATTCTGGGAAGGTTACATCAGCAGAGCATTGCTGGGAAATCTCATCTGTAATCTCATGATATCTCAGGGAAAGGCATTTTCCTCCCCTCAGATTATGTGCACGGTCACATGTGCCAGATTTTCAGGAAGTAAAAGGAGATCTAATAATCTGCCCTTAGTAGACATGGCCACTGTGAGAAAACTGGGGAAGAAAAGAGAAATAAGGTATGTGTAAGAAAATGACACGAAATATGATTTTTTATGTCATATTCCTTTTCTCGAAGCAGAGGGTGACAAAAGTTCAATAATAGATGATTGTTTTCGTTGTTGCATACAGTTCAGAATGTGTTTAATTTAAAAGTTGCAAAATATTACAGGATATGGTATATCTTACAGAATGAGTCTATAAGATGCTTAATGATGACAAAATATAGTATATCTTACAGCAGAAATCTATAAGATGCTTAAGAAACGTGGCTTTAGTTAGTAAGTAAAAATAGTCCTAACAGGTGTCTGTCTATTCAATGTTAGTGTGGGCGTGTCTGCGTGATGCTGTGCGTGTCTGTGGATCTGTAGTGTGAATGAGTGTGTGAATGTGTGAATGTGTGTATGTCACTTGAAGGATCATCCCTCATCCTTTAATCCATGCTTTTACTTTAAAATAACCTATGTAATGTTTACCTTAAAAGTCTTTCTGATTAGCATAAGGGAGTGCCATACTCTTAGTAGCTGAGTCATTTTGGGCATCATAGTCTATGTCCTGAGTAATGTGTTTTATTCTTCAAACCTATTTTAAAGGCCAAGTCTTCTTTGAGCAATCCTAACAACTGTTTCTACTATGTTTAGGTCTGCACTGTCAGGCTTACAGATTGATTACCAATTGTAAACTAAAAATCAGCAGCACCAGTCAAAACTGGATCTCTAAACTTGGATATTTCAATATATCTGGTTTTATGGTTTTAACAGTATGCAAAGAATACAAAGCCTGCAATTATCTATAAGTATGTGATGGTAGATTGTCATTACTAAATTTTTCTAAAGGTGTATTTGTTGTTATTTTAAAGATATGGGTAAAGGTCCGCTTTACGTTTAATGTTCCTCACCCATCTGTCCTCTTCTGCTACTGGCTTCATGCTCCCTCGTCATCTCATGACAAGAGAGCATGGAGCCGGCCTCCCGGCCAATCAGAAAGCAGGGCGTTGCGTCATTACACGGCGCCCGGCTTCCTGATTGGCAGGCTCGACAGCTCCGGCTGGGTACCGGACGAAGGCCGCGTTCTCGCTGGAGAGGCCCCGGGGGATGACAGGCTGCACATACTAAGGTAAGAAAATCAAAAATACAAGTACTGATACATTTTGTTTAGTGTCATATGACAGTTTTCCTAAAACAATACAGACTAATGATTTCAGTACAGTGTTGGAGTGCCAGGGCCCAGGTCCCAGCTGCAACCGCTGCGGCACTGATAGTTCTTGTGAAAATGCCAAGTATCGGCACTGGTATCCGAACATCCCTAAAAGAAACTATTGCCTATTCCACCTGCTGGTGAACTTTAGCACATTAGTGCAATCCCTAAATGCAGATGTTCACTATTAAAAAGCATAGTATGTATGTTTTTGTCTTCAGTCAAACACTGTGAAAAGGTGAACAGCAATGTGACAGAGGTCCCTATGTTGTTTATATGTGGGCATTGACAGGTGAGAGCTGCTCCATGGTACAGATATGTGTAGATTCCAGCATCCGTGTGCTTTGTTCTAAATGTAATAAGAAGATGTGCTATAACAGACCTATAAAATAAACTTGAAGATCCTTGTTATATGAGTGAGTATGTTCAATAGCTAGATGTGGATATTGATGGAGATGAGATGTGACAATGGTGTACTTTGTTCTTTGTAGCCCAGATAGTGCACTATATTTCTTTCCTCCTGAGCTGCTATGCACCTGCCAGATTTTCTCTTCTGCACTTATTTTTATGGCATTGTTAAGCAGTAGTTCAACAGCCGTATAATCAGACTCAAGATGTTCAGCTAAGTTAACTACTCAGCTCTGTGTACTGGTGCCAGCACAAACATTTGCACCGTAAAATATAACCGCTATATTTATTTACCTTATCTTCTGCTTTCCCATTTATATTGGTGGCTTGTCATAGTTGGCAGCTGAAAAGGAGTTTGATCACAGAAAAATTCATAAGCACAAGAAAATGATTTTCTTTATACCATACATGTGCTATATGCAATGTGGATGGAGTTATTTATCTCACCTCCAGCCACAAAATAACATAATCACTAGATTAAGTGACTACTGCAGCACTGCAAGAATACAAAGGGCATTCTTCAGTAGCAGGACTATGTGATACCCAAGGCAAAGGTGGAAACTCATGCCATCGCTAATAGATTAACTTTCCCATATTCATATATAATGGGATGGGTTTATTGTAAAAGGAAATGTAAGATGTTGTCAATACTTTATAAACAGAGCACCTTCCTTCCAAGCTTTGACAGTAACATAAACTCTGATACAAATTAAGGGGCACATTAGAAGATATTGTCATCCTATATAAGTATACAATTAGATTATATGAAATATTAACTCTTCATTTTAAGTTCACTGCAAAAGATACAAGGACATGGCTTACCGCTGGAAGAAAAGAGGTTTAATATCCAGCTGCAAAAGGGTTATTTCAAAGAAGTCCTGTAAAACATGGGTTAGATGTTTTTGCTTAAAAAATGTAAATGGTTGCCTTTGTATATATAAAAAAAACACATTAAAGAATGTTGTTTCAGAAATGTTTGTCAGATGTCAGCAAGGAATTTTTTTAATTGTTAAGGTGAATTAATACTTTCTAAGGGCCCATTCACACCATGTCCGCAACAGATACAGACTAGAACATTTTTTTGTCTGGTCCAAAAACGCACCCCCATTCATTCCAATGGTAAAAAGTCGTTTCCCCAAAATGTTACTGAAAATGCAACTTTTAATGACTTCTGCAGTCTCAAAATTATTTAACTCTTTCATGGCAAGCATCTTTACTAATTTGTAGAGCACCCTGTTGCTGTTATGACCTGCTGCAAACAAGATGTATGGCAGGAAACCATCTTCTGGCAGCATGCCTGAGCAACCTTAGCCCATTCCACATAAGGAATGGCCTCCACTTCACTAATATTTTGGGGTTTTCTTGCTGCAAGTGCCTTCTTTAAATCCCACCAGAGATTTTCTATGGGGTTCAAGTCAGGTGATGGTGATGCCCACTGTAGAATCTTTAAGACTTCTTTCACAGATGTCTGTTCTAATGGAAAGACTTGGGACTGAAATTTGAGGATTGTGTTTATCTGATAAGCTTAATTTACATACAATGGACAAGCCACATCAGACCCCTCACAAGTAGAAGCAAGAAGAAATGTTAACCCATAAAATCCTAACCCAAGTAAAAGCAATTTAAACTGCAAGAAGCATTTTTAATTTTTTTAGCTTATTTGTGAATGGGAACATGTAACAAATATAAAATAGGTGTTATCCCAATCTTGCTGTGAATGTGGAAATACACTATAACTGTAGGTAGAGTGTTCTTTTTAGGATATGCTTCATTCTTCTTCTGCAAACTGAAACCTCAGTGCCTGTTGCCTCCAAGACTTGCTGCTGGACTTTTGCAGTCACTAGAGAGTTTTTCTCAACATGCCTTTTTAGAAATCTGGTTGCAGCTGTTGATAGCTCCCCTTTTCTCCCCCATCCAGGTAGTGTAACCACTGTTTCTTTAACTTTGAACTTTCAAACTATGCTTCCAACGGAGTCTCTAGGAACATTCAGTACCTTTGCTATCTTTTTGTATCCTGCTCCTTGTTTGTGAAGGGCGATGATCTCTTCTCTTAACCTTTTTGACCAATCCTTTGACTCAGCCATATTTCTAACATGCAGTCAAACACATGCAGTCAAACAAGACACTCAACAAACCCCTAGCCAGTTCAGGTATTTCATCTGTTCTAGCTCAAGCACATCTGGTGCAACTAATAAAGCCATTGATAAGTTGCATCAGGTGTGCTTTAGACAACACATGTTTTGCACACATGTGCTTTTGTTAGAAATTCTATTCAGGGGGTTGACTAATTTTGAGACTGTAGAAGTAATTGAAAGTTGCATTTTCAGGTAAATTTGGGGAAACCATTTGAAACATTCATTGTGTTGACCTATTTCAATTGCTTTTGTTTGATTTGTTTGTTGAACACAGCTGAAGGTCTGTAAATGTTGCCAATAAACCTGTTTTGCAATGGGGGTTGAATTATTTTGATTGCATCTGTATGTTTGTTAGTGTCTGCCATGTCTGTTACTGAAGTGAACCTATGCCCAGATCATGAACACTAAAGTGTTTACATATTCTGAACAAGCAGTACATACAACAAGCAGTAAAACAAGCCCTCACTCATATCTGTATCTATAAGCATTTTGAGAAAAATAAATGTCAAACTTTACTACATTAGAGTTAACAACCAGCTGATGTTTCTAAGCTTTTACAAACTGACTTTGTCGTCATCTTTAAGGATCTTTGAGAAGGAATAACGTCAAATTAAAAGCCGCCAGAGGGGTCAGGGATGGCTTGTTTAAAAAATGTTTTACGGCTTGTAAAGAATATGTAAATAGTAGACATGTAAGCCTGCAAAAAATTGCTTTGTTTCATTTTGTTTCGGATGTTTCGTTATTTCGTTTTTTCAGGATTTGGGTCTGAATGTCAATTGAATGACTCAGAATTTTGTTAATTTTAGATGAGTTAAATGATCATTTTGAACTAAAATTAATTGCAGAAAAGCATTACATGTTAACTTTGTTTCTTTTTAATTTTTAAATTTAATTTTAATTTCTGACACCACAAACCAACAAAACAAGCGTGCGGTTCTCCAGCAATTAATAGCAGACTCTTTAGGTCTGGTAGGAATTTTAAGGGGATCCCAAATGCTGAAAAAAAACCCGTAGGGTCCCCCCTAAACTCCCTTAACAAACCCTTAATCCAGTTAGCAGCCCATCGGCATGGGGACAAGGTGCTTTTCCATGGGGTCACACCCTGGTAAAAGCACTCTTCCAATGCTGAGATCACCCGTAAGTCAATAAAGGAAAAGGGAAAGATGGGGCTTTAAAAGTGTCTACTAACTAATGCCAGGGAGTATGGTTTGAACATAATGTCAAAAAAATTCATCAATATTGATTGATTAATTTTTTTGACATTATGTTCAAACCATACTCCCTGGCATTAGTTAGTAGACACTTTTAAAGCCCCATCTTTCCCTTTTCCTTTATTGACTTACGACTGTAATTAGGGGTGTGGTGTCTCCAATTTAGTGCTGATCCCTAACTATCTCTTTTTACTACAATGCTTAGATCATGTGGCCTGGTATGGTGGAGGGAGGAGGGGCACTGGCTTGTCCCCCCCCACCTTTCCTGCCAGGCTGCTGCCCGGATTAAGGGTCTGGTATTTTAGGGGGGACCCAATTTTTTAAAAAGTTTTTTGCCATTGGGGTCCCCCCTAAAATTCCTACTAGACCTAAAGGTTCTGGCATAATATGGGGAGGGGTGGCCCCATGCTTTTTTTTAATTATTATTATTTCTGTGAATAGTTAAACACTTTTGTGCATTCTGTTATAGCTGTCAAATTCTTTACATTGGGGATGGAAGTGTACGCAAAGAAGCAGAAGCTGTTACAGTATAACACAGATCTCTCAGCTCCTTTCATTATTTACATTGTGTAACAATATTATGTTACTTTGCTTTCATTTGAGATACAAGTGCAGAGAAGCCAGAAAGCATGTTTTGTTTTCAAATTAAATTCGGATGTATCAAACATTCGGATTCGTTCAAATTTCAATTCGGAACAAAACTAATTGCATATGTCTAGTAAATAGTTTAATGTCCATAGTCTGGACACAGGTCCACTTTAAGGGAAGGACAAAATAGCATCTATAGCAACTGGCCATATGTTTATTTGTTTTTAAGTTGCACTGTTTTATTTAGGTCTTATGTGTCTTTAATATGCTTTATTGCATTTGATTCATATCTATATGCTTGTTTAGTTTCTGTTTTTGATAAATGTACAATACAAAGCAGTGGTACTTCACTATTTAAGTGATGACTATTTGGCTTTGGCTAATTTGCTGGTAGTATAATGTATGGGGACTTATTACCTAAAGGCTCTAGATAAAATATATATCTCTCTTTCTAGTCCTAGAAACTTTTTGTAGATATACAAAGCTCCTAAGATAATGGGCATACCCTTAGAGGTTTATTCTGCCTGAGGGACTACTCACAATAAATCCAGACATACAAATGCTTTATCATATATCTGAACCATGACTCATCTTAATTGTGATTGAATAAAAATGAATAACAGATAATCTTACATATTTCTTTTCAAAACTGATTTTGGATAGATTTAACACATGGTCATAATGACAAATATTATTTTGTTTTACTATTATACATAGTTCTGTCCTCATCCTGCCCCTGTCCTAATTATGTAACTTATGATGTTTTCCAGTCATCTGTTCAGTTTCCAAGAAGTAATGTTCACTTGATTGGGTACAGCCTTGGAGCTCATGTTTCAGGATTTGCTGGCAGCTATGTGAACGGATCAAACAAGATTGGAAGAATTACAGGTAATTTCTAATTATTTACAACTTCTGCACAACACGAATCATCACACTCCCATACGGATTACTACACGTTTCTGTTGCTAGAGTGTACCTTTATGTATATAGTTAACCTTTTGAAAGTTCCATGACTTTTTGGTAGGGTTGCACAGATACCAAGTACAGTACTCGGCACGAGTACATGTACCGATACTTTCGAGCTCCAAGACTACACTAGAGAAGAATTCAAAAATTAGGAGGCAGCTGTCATTTGTAAGGAGCACATGGAGCTCCTGGGATTTGTACATCTCTGTTTTAATGTATGATTTAGTTTTTATAAATATAAATAAAGGGATGCACAGATACCAGTTTTGCGAGTACGAGTACTGGTACTTGCCGAGTACTTACAAGTACGAGTACTGATAAATTTTTGTTTATTGTCAAGTGACAGTTTTTCTAAAACAATATAGACTAATGATTTTAGGACAGTGTTGGAGCGCCAGAGCTAGGCCCCAGCTGCAACCTCTGCAACCCTGGTAGTTCTCATGAAAATGCCAAGTATCTGCACTGGTACTCGAAAAGTATCTGTGCATCCCTACTTTTTGGGGTATGGGGAAAATAAACACTACCCCTCCCCACACATAACAGTACTCAGCCATCCATTGCCATCCAGAGGACTGTCTTGCTGTGGTCATGCCAAAGCCTTTCAGAAAGTCTGTATTTGCATAAGAGCATCAGCAGACTACAGCAGTGCTGCATAAAGGGTGACTTTGGAAATAAAGGTACAATAAGACACATTCGCCTGCCATCTGTTTGAGAGTTATCTTTGCTCTAACACTTCCTAATACAGGTGCACTTTAAACACTGCACCACTATTAAAAAGCTATATTTTCAAGTACTATTAAAGACAAATATTTTTTTGGGGATTTGGATAAACTGGTGAGCAGTTGTTATTGGTGTCTGTGTAACCGCAAGGGAGATTCACTCTCTCTCAGGGCAGCAACAGTGGCTTAGTGGTTAGCACTTCTGCCTTATAGCACTGGGGTCCCCAGGTTGTGTTGGTTATGTGTTTAGATAAAGCACTGAGATCCTGAGGAATGCTGAATTAAGTTTTACTTTCTTAGAAGGACATTATATCAGAATAAAGAATTATACAGCATACAGAGAGAACCTCCTGTATATATCATAGATAAACATGCATAGAGACTAACATTGCACTACAGCGTCATCTAAAGCTCAGAAGACATAATTACACAAGTAATACAATAATATGCATGCTGTTGCATTTTCAAAATCCCTTCTCAACAGCATATGTGTTGCTATATGATGTTTAGCTTCTCTCGAAGGAAACTGTGAGGATCCTTTGGCAATGGCTTGGTGAGTGCATCCTCAGTCATTTCTTCTGACAAGCAATATGGCTTGCTCTTGAGTGTCCCTAAGCAGATGATACTTCACGTTGATATGCTTAGTTTTAGAGTTGACTCTTTCTGATTGTCAGCTTTACACATCCCTGGTTATCTTCAAAGATTGGGATTGGGTTTGACATGTGTACGCCCATGTCTATTAAAAGCTGGCGGATCCATATTGCTTTTGACTAGTGTGTGCTGCTGCTATGTATTCAGATTCAGTTGAGGAAAGTGCAACAGTTGTTTGCTTTTGGCTAGACCGACTTTTGGTTCCTTCTCCATATTGGAAGATGTAACCACTTGTGGATTTGCTGTCTGTGCAGTCTCCGGCCCAATCAGCATCCGCATATCCAACTAGTTTTGGATTTGACACTGCTGGCAGTTGTAACTTCATCTGTCTGTCTTCTTGATTACTGGAATAAAGACTACTTGTGAATCCCATGAGTATTTCATTCACTTTGCCATTCCACATTCTTGCAGATTGCTTGAGTCCGTAGATGCTTTTATGGAGCTTACACACAAGGTTGCTCAAACCCTTATGGTTGCTCCATGTAGAGATCTTCCTTAATGTCTCCATATAGGAAAGTGGTTTAACGTCTACTTAGTGTCTCACTTACACGCCCTTCCTAGCTGCGATGCTAAGGAATGTTCTGATGGTGGAGTGCTTTACAACGGGAGCGAATGTTTCATCTTAGTCTTCTCCAAATTACTGGAAGTATCCCTTGGCATCTAATCTGGCCTTGTATTTGTGTTTTTTTTCCTTCTGCATCAAGCTTCACCTTAAAAGTCCATTTGCTTCCTATAGTTCTGTGATCGGGGGGGGGGAGATCTCCATATGTGTCCAGGTTTTATTTTCTTGGAGTGATATTATTTCTTCTTCTGCTGCCCCTCTCCATTGATTGGCTTTGCGTTTTGGTAATTTTTCTGTCTTCCCATGATATTGGTTCAAGTATGCTATGTGTCTTAACAGTATATGACAGCTTGCAGGGTGGTATTCTCTTCGTTGCCCGAGTGGATCTTCTACTTTTCAGGTTGTTCAGCAGAATTTATTTGTTCCGATTCTTGTTCCGACTCCTATGCAGCTTCACTTTGCTCAGCTTCCTCCGCTGGTTCCCCGGGCAAATTCACTTCACAACTCCCTGGGATCATTGTTTCTGGTGATGGGTTCTCATTGAAGTAAACGCTGCGGCATATTGTCACTTTGTCTGTCTTTGGGTGGAGGATTTTTATATCTTTCACCTTGCTCACTATAGCCCACCAGAATACCTTCTATGACTGTTCTTTTTGGATCGCTTCTCCCTTGGAATATAGACGTAAGCTTTACATCCAAATACTCTGATGTGCCCTAGGCTAGGCTTTGATCCATGCCACATTTCAAATGAGGTGCTTTCAACTGCTTTTGATGGTAGTGTGTTCTGTAGGTATGTTGCAGTCATGACTGCTTCCCCCAAGTACTTCTTAGGTACGTTGGCGTCTGACAACATGCATCTGGCCATTTCTTTAAGAGTGTGATTTTTACATTCTGTTACACTATTTTATTCAGGAGTGTATGGTGTGCTAGTCTGGTGTACCGTACTATACCCTGTGTCTTCAGATATGATTCCACTTCCTTACTGATGTATTCCCCTCCATTGTCAGTGCGTATAATTCCTGGTTTCCATTGGAATTTATTGCTAGACATGGCTACAAACTCTTGAAGTTTTTCTGATGTTTCATTCTTCTGCTTCATCAGATAAGTTGTCGTGTACCTGGAATAATCATCAATAAAAGTTAATAGATATCTGTTCCCGCCTGATGTAGGAGTTTTCATTGGTCCACACACATCACTGTCCATGGGGTGGGTGGCCTTTCTTTCAGTGGCCTGTGGAAGTCTGGTATGTGTGGCCTTTGCTTCCATTCAGCATTTGCATGTCATGAGCATTTGGCAGGGCAATGCGGTTATATCTTCTGGTAAGCCTCTCCTTATATTATCCTTTATTGGTTCTAGGTTTCGGTACCCTAGTCATCTGTGCCATAGATGGATTCATTTGTTGTGTGAATTATGAGTGTCTGTTTTGACTTGTTCGTCTGCGGTGATGAGTCTGTAGAGCTGTTTATTCAATTTTCCTTTTTGCAAGGATTTGCTTATTGTTTTCGAATTGTACTTTCATCACCTCGGAATTGAAATGTGAGCCCGGTATTAGCAAGGGTTTTCACTGATAGATGGCGTCCTTCAAGGTCTGGAATATACAGTACATTTTTCACCAGGGTACCCTGCTTGTCCCCTGACGGTGTGAAGCAGATATAGAATCCTTGACCATTACCTTCTGCAGTAATACTTTTTTTACTAGGACAACTTTGTTCTTTGCACTGAAATCAAGTTTTGTAAAGAATATCTAATCATTAGTCTTGTGACTTGTTGAGTCAATACACCATCCGCGTAGTGTACAGTTCTGAGTCACTTTAAAAGTAGCACTCCATGATGTGCCTGTAGTTTCCTTTGTAAATGCCTTAGCTCTTTCTCTTGTAGGTGCCTCTCGCTTTCACCTGCTCGACTTTCCAGATTGAACAGTCCTTTTTCAGATGACCAGTCTTTTTACAGCAAAAACACGCTCCGCTTTTTTTTGTTTTGCTTTGCACTCTCATCCACCTTAAAGGGTTATTAAACCCTCTGGTTTTAGCATATATCTATTGCAAGCAAGCAAAAAGGTTAAAAAAAACGCTTTAAAAAGGGTTAAAACTTACCTGTGTCTTCCCCGCGCGCTGCTGTCCGAAAATCTGAAAAATCTCGGGCAGCCGCAATGCATCCTGGGGCCCGCGCATGCGCAGTTCAGATTTTTGGCCAGGAGACGAAGAGAGACAGAAGGTAAGTCTATGGACAGCATGCACCCGCATGCAGACACCGTGGGACAGGAAGTGCTAGCATGCACAGATGAGTCAGCGCTGGATTGGAGACCCTCAGCAGCGCTGGAGAGAAGGCTGAAAATGACAGGAAAGAAGAAGATCAGATTAAGAGACATCATTTAAGGTAAGTGCTTACATTAACATTGGGGGAGGGGAAACAATTGTATCCTTTGTCACTTTAAGGACTGTCTCGTTTTCCGCATTGTGCATATTTTCTTTTCCTCTGTCATATTCATTGATTCATTTTCCTTTGGCATATTCTAGTGTTAGTCCCTGCTCAGGTCTGGTTTCTAGAATGTTAATAAGAGCACTGTATCACTCTGGAAGGCTGCATAGCAGTAATGTCACCGCTTGGTTATCTTTAATTTCCTCTTTAATTGCATGTCGCTGTTCTACAATATCCAGCATGGCATTCACATGTTCACACATTTCCTGGCCTTTTTCTAGTCTCATGTTCTATAGCTTGCATAGCAGATATAGTTTGCTTTTTAGGTTGGAATGTTCATGCAATTTTTGTAATGCAGTCCACATACCTTTAGCTGTATTTTTTTTTCTGATGTGAATGAGTTGGTCATCTTCCACTAGCAGGCTTATAATTGCTTTTGCTTGCCTGTTATTTTTGTCCCATTCCTTCGTGGGTCCATTAGTGGGTCTGTTTGTACTCAGTTGCCACAGGTTGTCTTTGCTTAGCAGCATTTCAAGCTTGAACTGCCATAGCTGGCAGTTGCTATTGTTGAG